ATCAACTCTTATCCTAGGATATTTTTAATAATTAAAGTAAATCATCCTTGTTAATTGTGCACAATGAAGAGTATATGTTGTTGTTAAGTGCCGTCGAGTCGCTTCCGATCCATAGCGACCCTGGATAGGGTTTCCAAGGAGCAGCTGGTGAGCTCGAAACATTGATCTTGTGGTTCCAACGAACTTTGCAATCCAGCACATTAACTAACCCACAGCATTACACCAGAATTCAAGTCTTATTATTATTGCTTTTATTATGCATTGCTATTATTGTTAGCTTTGTCCATTCTTTGGGAGCACAGTGACACCTTTTGATAAGCCCTGGACCTAGAACCACAATGTCTATGGTTCATGCCCATCAGCTAAAACTTGGGAGAAAGATGAGGTTTTCTACTTCCTTGAAGATATAAAGCCTCAGAAACCATATACAGGGTCACTATGAGTTGGAACCAAGTGGATGACACTTAACAGCAACAACAACAACATGTACATTCTTTGAATTCCCACCTAAATTATAAATCTTTATAAGTCAGGGATTTACATCATTACTCAAATGCAATACAAATGGACATAGAATGATTGCAATAAGTCACTTAAATACATAAAGAATATTCTATTAATACCTTTAAGGTGTAAAATGAGTCCTGATAGCTCAGGGTTTAAGCACTCTTGTGCTATAGGTCAATCATTCAAACTTACCAGTCACTCTAGAAAAGAAAGCTATGGCAGTTCGTTTCTGCAAAGATTGTTGTTGCTGTTGTTAAGTACCGTGGAGTCTTACAGCCTTGGAAACCCTATGAGGGAAGTTCATCTTTGCTATACAGGGTCATTATGAGTCCAAATCAACTTTAGGGCAATGGATTTCCTTTTAACTCATTCATAATTGTTGTTCAAATACCAATAAATAATGATATGTTTTGAAGTCTTAAATGATAGTTGCTTCTTTCCCATCATTAAATCTAATTTAAATGTTTAGAAGTAGAAAGTAATCCATACATATTTATTAAATATATGTAACATCTCCACAAAGCATAACTTTTATTTATGTTAAAACACAATTTAAACATAATATAAATATGCACTTAAATCTATTTACAATACTGAATGTAACATCAGTAATTACAACATTTACCTAATATTCTTTTTTTACATCATTAAAAGAATAAGTCTCTTGTGCACTTAGCAGATCTACCCCCTCCAAATTCCTAGTAAAGTATCAGTTTTCTGAAAGTACTTAGTGGTATTTGAACTAAGTGTACATTTCAAAACATCCACATTATGGGTTAATGCATTTGCAAAGGACTTCTGAGTGGGGTTACATATTGCTTAGGTTGCAAATGAAAAATGCAAAGGAGTGAAAAGTTAGGACCTATTGAGTATCTATAAAACTCTTAATGGTTTTCTTTGCTTCTTTCTCTTAATAGAAAACCAGTCACACCAAGACTCCAGAATATCCAGCTAATACCAACCTAACCACACAACATGAAGATGTTTCATGTGGAGGCCTTGAATTACAGAATCATATAAGCTGGGACTAGAAGGAGACATAAAAGATAATTAAGTCCAACTCCTTCATTTACAGATGAGAAAAGAGGCCTGCTGAATCCGTTTCAGTTAAGACTGTTTTCAAGACAGCAACCAATACTCACTTTTATTTGAGCTATTTACTCTAATTTTATAGTTTATTGTCATCTGTACAAGTGACCGCAATACAAAGTACTTGCATATTTGTGATGCCATGTGCATGGATAAGGTCCTTTTTATATGTGCTCCTCTAAAGGAGCTGTCTGAGTTTCCTAGGATATTTTCTTCTATATTATCAAAGCTCCATGGTGTTTCTTTGAGTATTTTTTAAGGGACCATCATTATGTAATATTTGGGACAAGCAATAAATCTTTATCACACGCATTTTAGGAACAGTCTCTTCTTGGATTTTGGTTTCCGTTAAGAGGAAATCTTTGGTAATATATTTACATAAAATATATTCTTAATTATTAAATTGTCAGTATGTGCTAGAATCTATTCCTATGTAGGTTATTTAATATGAACAAGTAAATAGTCATTTTTTTTTAAAAATTAAACTAACTCAAATTTTGAAGTGAATCGCTTATACTTTTCACATATTCAAGGTATAGAAATAAGTTTTTCAGTAAATGTAATAAAGGAAGTCCCAAATCTGTATTTTTAAGATGCTTACTAGAGGTAATGGAGTTTTGATGTGATGCTGTAAGATAAGCGTCAGACTGTAAGGTCGGTGTAAACCAAAGGCTGGCGATTCAAACCTACCAGTCGCTCCTCAGAAACTATGCACAGGTCTGCTATGAGTCAAAACTGACTTGAAGGCACTTAGTAATCACAACAACCAACTTCTTTAGTCTGAAATTGATCAATCATGCAATCAAGATGTATTGATAATTATTGGTGTTTGGAATGCAAAGGTTGGAAACAAAGAGGAAGGATCAGCAGTTGGAAAATATGGCCCAGGTAATAGAAGAGATGCTGGAGATTGCAAGGTATTTTGCAAGACCAATGACTTGTTCATTGCCAATACTTTTTTCAAATAATGTAAAACACTGCTATACTCATGGACCTCACCAGATGGTATACACAGAAATCAAATTGACTATATCTGTGAGAAGAGACTGTGGAAAAGCTCCGTATCATCAGCCAAACCAGACTACGGCAGTCTGTGGAACAGACCATCCATTCCTTATTCACTTAACGGTTTAAAATTAGGAAAGGTGTACTTCAGGGTAGTATTCTTTCACCATATTTATTCAATCTGTTACGCTGAGCAAATAATCTGAGAGGCGAGTGTATATGAAGAAGACTATGGCATCAGGATTGGAGGAAGACTTATTAACAATCTGTAATATGTAGATATATAACCTTGCGTACTTAATGCAAAGCGTACTTAAAATACTTACTGATGAGGATCAAAGAATACAGCCTTCTATAGAGTTGCACCTCAAAGTAAAGAAAACATCATGATAAGTGGACAAAAGATTGAAGTTGCCAAAGACTTCATTTTGCTTGGATCTACCATCAACACTCATGGAAGCAGCAGTCAAGAAATCAGACAAATTGCATAAGGCAAATCTGCTGCACACAACCCCTTTGACATATTCACGAACAAAGATGTCAGTTGTAGGACTAAGGCGCTCCTGACTAAAGCCATTTTATTTTGAATAGTTTCATATACCTGTGAAAGTTGGACAATGAATAAAGAAGATCACAGAAGAATTAAAGCATTCGAGTTATGGTGTGGTAGAAGAAATATTAGAATTACCAAAGGTTGCTATAAGAATAAACAAATCTGTGTTAGAAGAAGCACAGTCAAAATGCTCCTTAGAAGCCAAGATGGTGAGACTTGAACTCACATAGTTTGGATGTGTTATCAGGAGAAATCAGTCCCTGCCAAAGGGCATCATACTAGGTGAAGTAGATGGTCAGTGAAAAAGAGGAAGACTCCCAACGGAATGGATTGGCCCAGTGGCAGCTGCAATGGGCTCAAGTTTAGCAATGATTGGGAGGTTGGCCCAGGACCGGGCAATGTTTTGTTCTGTTATGCATAAAGTTGCTATGAGTAGAAACCGACTCGATGGCACCTAACAACAACATATAAACCTGGAGTCTTGATGTGGAGCAATAAGATAAGCAATGGACTACTAACCGAAAAGTCATTATGAGTGGTAACCAACTCCACGGCACTTAACAGTATATAAACCTGCATTTAATATTCAAGTTCCAAAACAAATTATTTTGAATTATATTTTCATTGCAACATCTGATTTTTGATGAAAAGAATTGGACTGGAGGCTTTTGGGAGCTTGTCTTCATGTGGTAAGTATACCTGTACTGTAACAACATGGCATATGAATTAATAACCAGTCAGTTTTTTAAATTCTCACGTTGATGTTACTCATCACTATGTTAGCATTTATTTATCTGAAAACAATACTGGGATACGAAAGCAAAAATGGTCAAGAAGAGCAGTAAGACTCCTCCAACCCCCACCGCGGGGAAAGCTCGTGCTCTCTTGGCATAGCAGGTTCCTGCATGTGGCAGGAATTCGTCCCAGGGAAGACAAGCGCTCTGCAACGCCAGGGCGTTCCCAGTCGCACGGACTACTAGGAGACTGCAAACACCTGGTGTGATCTTTAAGCGCCCTAAAGACTTCTGTCGCGGACCAGTGGGCCCTAGCGACTTAAGTTGTGGACCGGTGGGTTCTGGGGCTGTAGCCAGAAGGCTCTGAGCTGTCATAAGGGTTTCCTGTGTGTCAGCAATTTCAGTTTGCCGAGATAGCTGGCGGAAGAGCGAAGGAGTTCTAGCGGGCCAATCGCTGGCCAGCAGTCAGCCCAAACCGAGTACCCTTCGCCCTGTCAACTCATTGAGAACAGCAGCGGGGCAAAGGCTGAGTGCGAAGGCAGGGCGGAGATCTGTTCCCTAGAAGACGCCTCCAGCTGCGGGCTGCGCCCTGGAGAGCGCTGGCAGGCTGCCCGGCGGGCTCGAAGGAGACACGCCCCTCGTCTCTCAGCCCGGCGCGGACTCGCTCGGGTTCTCAAACTCCGCCCACCCTTGCGGGGAACCTAGCTCTCCTGCCTGCCCCCTACACTCGGGACTGAGCCGGGCCTTGGGAAGGGACCCCACAGTACACCGACATGACTGGAACCCGTACCAGAGGCGCACGAGTCTGCTACCACGAATGCTGGAATGGCCCCTAAAGGTTAACTGCAGAGGTGGAAGATCCCAGAAAAGGGCGCGGGGCCCGAAGCCGAGCTGCTTGCTTCCAAGGTAGGGAAAAGGACGATGCACGAACGAAGTCGATCTAGGTAGGAGAGAGGCTGGGGAACGCTCTCCCAAAACCCGAGCGCTTTGGAGTGAGTTTGGTTTCAACTCGCTGCGCTCTGGGCGCGCAGCTCTCGGATTCTGAGCTGCCGCCCCTCGGGAAAGCGCAGTGGGAAAGTTGTCCGTAGCAGTGCCGTGAGCGCCCTGTTGTGTAACCTCGGCGCTGCCAACCACACGAGGAAGTTGCTGGCCGGTCCGCCAACCCCGTGCAGTCGCGGCCAGGGGCGGATTTCATGGCCCGCCGCGAGCAAAGAGCCGGAATCGGCCTGGGCGAACCCCCGCGCGTCCTCTTTAGTGAAGACCACCCGCTTCCCTTCTCTTCTGCTCACCGGCTTTTCAGATGCTCACTGCGCCCCTTGCAGCTGCCGCCCTCTCGCTGCTGCTTGCCTCTAGGAGCCGCCTAAGTCCGGGAGGAGAGAATGACCGAGGTGCTGTGGCCGACTGTCCCCAATGGGACGGACACTGCCTTCTTGGCCGGTCAGAGTTCACCCTGGGGGAACAGCACGTGGGGGAACGGCACGGCCGTCTCCACCGCCGCCGCCGCTTCATTCAAATGCTCTTTAACCAAGACTGGCTTCCAGTTCTACTACCTGCCCGCTGTCTACATCTTGGTATTTATCATCGGCTTCCTGGGCAACAGCGTGGCCATCTGGATGTTCGTCTTCCACATGAAGCCGTGGAGCGGCATCTCGGTGTACATGTTCAACTTGGCTCTGGCTGACTTTTTGTATGTGCTCACTCTGCCTGCCCTTATCTTCTACTACTTCAATAAGACGGACTGGATCTTCGGGGATGTGATGTGCAAGCTGCAGAGGTTCATCTTTCACGTAAACCTCTATGGCAGCATCTTGTTCTTAACCTGCATCAGTGCACACCGGTATAGCGGGGTGGTATATCCGCTCAAGTCCCTGGGCAGGCTCAAGAAGAAGAACGCTGTCTATATCAGCGTGCTGGTGTGGCTCACCGTGGTGGTGGGAATCTCCCCCATCCTCTTCTACTCTGGCACCGGTCTCCGGACAAACAAAACCACATGCTATGACACCACCTCGGATGAGTACCTGAGAAGTTATTTCATCTACAGCATGTGCACGACCGTGGCCATGTTCTGTGTCCCCTTGGTACTGATTTTGGGCTGTTACGGATTAATTGTGAAAGCTTTGATTTACAATGACCTAGACAACTCTCCACTCAGGAGGAAATCCATTTACCTGGTGATTATTGTACTGACTGTATTTGCGGTGTCTTACATCCCTTTCCATGTGATGAAAACGATGAATTTGAGGGCCCGTCTGGATATTCAGACCCCAGAAATGTGTGATTTCAATGACCGGGTGTATGCCACTTATCAGGTGACAAGAGGTCTGGCAAGTCTCAACAGCTGTGTTGACCCTATTCTCTATTTCTTGGCGGGAGATACATTCAGGAGGAGACTCTCCCGAGCGACCAGGAAAGCTTCCAGAAGAAGTGAGGCAAATTTGCAGTCCAAGAGTGAAGATATGACCCTCAATATCTTATCTGAGTTTAAGCAGAATGGAGATACAAGCTTGTGAAGGCACAAGAATCCCCCCAAGCCTCACTTTTGTGACATGGTAGGATGCTAAAATAGAACCAAGTAGTCGCGTCCCCCCTCCACCCCCAATTAAGTTTCTAGTAAGACTTCGAAAGACCAAGAAAAAAAAAGAATCAATCGTAGAAACTCCCATACCCACTCTGTGCAGCTTATTTGGTTTTGCTTCCAAGGTCTTCCTCCCTCATTCTGACTAGAAGTATGTATCATAAATATCCTAGTTAAACATTTACCTCTTATTCTTCCTGCAAAATTTACAAGCTTCTCTTGCTCTTGATATCGCCACATGAGTATTTAAAGTGTGTGTGCACATGAGTTGGGAGCAACTTTATTATTATTAATTACTAAAAATAAGACAAACAAAGCCAAAACAAACCTGACCACTTGAAACTGGAGTATATGGATCCTCTAATCTTTGTTGTTTTTAATAGCTCATGCTAGGAACAGATTAAAACTCTACATCTTCAAAATGATTTAGTGAACTACTATACTCAGCTCACTCAGCATCACATGAAGAGATCTATGAACTGGGTTTCTGGGAGTCTCAAGCATAAATAGTAGCTGGGTAGGCTTCTTTGGAGAATTGACTAGAAATGTCTATGTTAATTAATGTGAAAGCCTTGAAAATGATTACTTCCCAATTATTTCACTAAACTTTTAATACTAAATGTTTGATGGTAGAAGCCCACATTGATTATCATAAGGAAAAAAATGCATTCAATAGGATCAAAGTGCATGCATTTTCCTTGTAAACACCACAAACACTCTTAGACTTTCTGTGATACAGAGTGTTTACTTGCACCACTGCTGTGCAGTATCTTAGGAGTTTATTTATGTTTCAGGACAAGTGCTCACTCACATCTGTAAAAACAACTTTAAAAATCACAGATAAAATTCAGACCAAAGTTAAATAAAGTGGAATGACTTAGCAAGTTGCGAAGATGTTCAGAAAGAAGATAGTACAGTTTTCCCACCTTATTCAAAAGTAGAGAGTTCTTAGGAAACCTTTCTTGAACTGAAATGGCATAAAGTGTGATTGACATTAATTTATATGGTAAACATTTTTTAGTGTTCCCAGGCCCAGAAAATAACCTTTCAAATCATACCAAACAGCACATAAAGCCTAATATAATACAGGTATAGTTCAAAGATATAGCAACTTAATGCTGAGATGCTGATTATAAGAGGAGAAGGAGGGCTAAGCTCCTTCTAAGGAGCTCTGTTAGGGGGTGTGTTCTGCCTCCCCAACAGCTTGGTACAAAACAAATGCTGAATATTGCTTTCACTTTTTGTTGTGTGTGTTTTTTTGTTTTGTTTTTAATGTGAAAATCCTCTTCAGATGGCTTCCAGTTAGCAAAAGCAGATAATAATGTAGGTCTTTCATAAAAGAAGTGAACTTTCAAAACTTCAAATGCCAGGATACCTGTATCACTAGAGGAGAATAATGATTGACAGTCATTCACAATGCATATTCTCAAATATATAAGAGGCAGCTTGGGATGGAAAAGACATTTGAAAATGAGGTCTTTAGTTTAAATTGACATTGTTGTGTAAAAGGCTCTGTCGTGCTTCTTGGAATTGTTTGAGATCATTAAATACAACATGTATAAAGAAGATGGAAAAGTAAACTGAATGTGTATAGGCTATGCTGATAAAATGAAAAGCTATAATTTTTAAATGGATTTTACATCTCATACTTAAAGGAAAACGATGCTGGAAAAAAAAAGTATGAAGAATTCAATCTGAGTGCTTGAGGAAAGCTCACAGTGAAAAGCTGTTGGTTAAATGTTGTCAAATCAGTCTGATCCATAGCGACCCTGCATAGGGTTGCCAAGGAGTAGCTGGTGAGCTTGAACTGCTGACCTTGTGGTTCAAACCGACTTTGTAGGTTAGCACATTAACCCACAACACCACACCAGGACTACTAATCAAACTACCAATATTGAAAGTGATACCAATGACTACTGGTCATTGTTTTTATTTTTAATATTTTCCCTCAACAGATAATATTTTAACAACTTTCATAACAATTTTCAGTGAATATTGAATTGCTGGACATCTAGCCCTTGAAATGGTCAAATTTTATATAGTGCAAAAATGATGAGGTGAGGTAACATAATTTATAACCCCAAACAAGTAAGTCCAGTGTTAAAGGAATTTGGGGTTGTGAAAGCTAACACAGGCAGAGTCAACATCAGAGTCTGGAACTGATGGTGGAGTAATTTATACCCTACATTGTTTGAAAGCACTTTATAAGTAAAGTGATATGGGGCAATATGCTATGGCCTCAAAGTCCTACAAAACAAAGTGATAGGAAGGTGAAGATTTAACTGCAGCCCTCCATGACCAGGGTGAATTGAATATTTGTAAGACCTTCAGTTAATTCTTAGAACTACCTCAGTTTACCCAATCTTCAGCCATTAAGATCAATGAAGAATTTAGCTTTCCTAAGCAATTGTTCTTCTAAAAATGTTTATTCATAATGCATAAAATTGCAGAAGCCAGATTGTGAAACAATTTTAGAGATGTCAATCTACATCCTCTCATTTTAGGTAAAGAAAGAGTTAGGTTCTCACTTGCTCAGGATCAAACACCATCGTCTGTTGTAGAAACCAAAAAGTACAGTCTAAAATATGGCATTACTATATTGACCCTAGATCAATATCACTAAACTGACCCAAATGGAAACTCCAGATCTTGTGCCACACTTATGCTTGCAGGCTAATGGTACACATTTCTGTATTTCTTCGTTTTTACTTTAGCTTTCTTCTGTTTACGTCTCAGAATGCTTGCAATAGTTTAGAGTATGAGTTTTGTTAATACATTGTTTCAGCTTCCAGTAAGCTTTCTTTTGGAATGTGGATCCAGTGTGGAGACCGTGGACAGTGATTAGACTTAGACTACTTGGATACTTGGAGTGAGTGTTTGTTTTTTGAAATGTTTCTTTTTCAGTTTCATATATCATGTTGGACAACAGTGACGTATGAATGCATGCCAAATAATAACCAGAACGATCTTCCCAACTTCTTCCAGGCAAACAAGAGTCAACACTGATGATGAAAACATACACAGGGTCAGGATGAAATGGTGATAATCTTTTGGCTAATGCTTGTCGTATAATGATAAAAATATGTATTTTAATAGTAAAGGTAGAAATCTGTTGGCCTGTAGGTGAGAGCACAGCTCAAATTCTGTCATTTATCAGTTAGCTAAATTTCATACTTTGGATGAAAGCACAGCTCAAATACTGGAATTATTCAGTTAAATAAATTTTAAAAATATCTGATACAAAATCCAAGGTTTTCTTGGACTCACAATTTGGCATCTATGACTCTTTGACCATGAACTTGAGTTTACATTGAAATGTTACTTAAAAATAAAAAAGACAAACTTAAAAGAGATATGGCATGAGAACCCAGATCTGGAGTTGACTTTGCCCCTCAGCCAGCTGTGGGACTCTTAACCTTTTCAAAATCACTCTACATGGATTAAGACATTTGGATGGCATCCATTGGTTGGGACGTTAGAGACTATGATAAAGCACAAAAACTAAAGACTGCTAGAAGAGTGTGAAATCTGCTGCTTTTATTTCCCAGAAGTCTTCAATCCCAATCCTTGGCTAAACAGATCCAACATCAGCAACTGCAATGTGTACCTATGACCTGTAAGTCTCTTTCATCTATTTGGACAACCTCATAAAAGAACAAACTGCTTTCTCATAGAAAAGATGCCAGTGCTTATAACAGCTGCAGATGGACTAGTGACAGTGCCTAAAGGTGTGATACTAGTTCCAGACGTTTTGAAGCTTTAACTTTGCTGGTCAAATTGTAACTATCATGATAGTATTTATTGGTGAAGCTCACAGTACTTCAGTTGTACAGATTGAATATTTTTCTTGAAAAATGCAACATACTTATGTAAATTATATTTATTACAATGTATAATATGTGTCACACTGTTGTATTTTACATAATATATGATGCATAGATAAAATCAGAGTTGGTATAGTATGATGCTCTTAAAATATAATTATATGAAAATGTTTAAGTCTTCAGGTTTTTTTGTTTTGGTTTGTTTTTGTTTTTCTCTGAAGTATAAAAATCTGTTTTGTGATTTTGTCATATGAGTGATTAGTTTTTCTTAGAATGTTTTTGCATGTTTACCTTTTTAATTATGGTTCTTTCTATAAACACAATTTAGTGTCAGACCATCATAAGATCAATAGTACATAAAAGTGTTTTAGCCAGACTGGGTCTGTATTGTCTATATTTTGTATGATATTACAGAAAAGTTTATACTTTCCTGTCAGGAGTTTGCTCCCAAATATGGCAAATCTTCCATTTACTAGTGCAAAGGCTTATCCTAAATTCAAAGTAATTCTTTGATGTTTTGGAAATCTGATGGAGTGGGCATTATAACTATATTCAAATTAAAAAACAAAACAAAAAAACTTTAAGGAGCTAGGAAGAAAAAGAGGCAGCTGGTGAATCAGTCTACTGTTGATCAGCTCGGCTTAAATTTTTGTGCTGTTGTTTCTTTTTAAAATAAAATAGCATAATCTTAATTTCTTGAGATGAAATTTCTGAGTAAGACACTATCAGCAAGTTCAACATTGCTATTAATTTTAATGTGTGTTTTTTTCCAGTCAGTAATGTTAATTACAAGTTTTCTAGTGATAACTATACATATATTATTTAGCTGCTGGATTCTGTTATGATTTTTTTTTTTCTGTTGTACAGTGAATTATACCCATCATCCAAAATTAATATGAAGGGGAATATATGTTGTATATCAAAATTTGTGAATTTGAATTACGGTCTGCTTTAGTGCTTTTGCAGAAATGTTTATTTTTATATTATCTGTGATTTTAATATAGAAAATTAAACTCGATTTCTTTGTGATTAATAGTACCATTGGTTATCGGTATGGAAACAGTATTACTTGACATTTTGAGCTTTCTCAGGTTTATCTAAATCAGTGGTAGCTTAAAAAA